TGTCTCGCTCGCCCACAGTGCGAACAAGACACCGGCGCATGCACAAGGAGTCAACACACAGAGGACATGCATGGGGAGCGGTGAGCACACGAGGCAGGGGCGGCCTCTCGCCGCCGGCCGTTGGGTACGTTCAGGAGATGAGCAGACTTGCACGACGAAGCAACACTAACACACACGATGTCTCGTTTCCATCCACATATTCATCCCTTAAATTAATACGGAGATTAAGCAGTAGTGCCGACACAGGAGATCAAAAACACCATAATAACAATCACGAGTATTCATATTAAACCAAAGTCAGGATCAAGAATATGATACAGCCTATAGAAACACTCCAGCTTACACCTGCGCTTCACGGCAGTCGAAGAAAAACAAGATGACACACAGAGCTCTGCAGTAACCCGCCCCCTCTCCTCCAGCAACACTACATTCAAAACGCACTCGCCTGTTTATACAAACCCACACCTACGCTCTAATCTCGCAGCCGACGCATCGCACGAGTGAGATTTCCCAAACGATATTAATAAGACGTTTTTAAAATGCACCAAAGCTAAAGCAACATTACATTTAATAAAGTCGAGTTACAAACTAAAAGACACGACAATGCTGGAAGATTCAAACATTTGACACTTTGTCATTTTGAAACTCAACAAAACAATCGTCTGCAAAGTTAGCCGGGGACGTTCGATTTAAGGGTCGTGGCACAGCTCCGAGCGTGTGCTGCTTAACCTAGTTCATAATCAGGAATCCATGTCTCGAGAGGCTTCTGACAGACCTCCACGTTTAACTTATGAAGCTCAAAAACACTTAACATAACTCTTACATTGCTACTGTCAAGCTAGTAGGGAGTTCAAGCAGCTAATGTATAATTAATACCAAGAGCAGTAATAAGTGAGAAGAAGAATCAAAATTTACAAGTGAATGTGAGAACTCAACACTCTGTGGCTGGAACGGGAGCACGGGAACTTTCCTTTAGAACGCGAGGCTCTAACACACAAACCTACATCTGATCAGAAGAAGGTGAACTAGACCAAATTATCACAGCTGGCTCAGAGTTCCCATCCTTTTTATTTCAACCTGCTCATGAAAAAATAAAGTTCAGTGCATTTCAGAAACTACTTACATAGACAAGTGTCTGTACGCTGAATGGAAACTTGTTACCACCCAAAAGGATGCCGACTTTTTACTTGGAGACGACGTTGCCGTTTACCTTCAGGCAAACATGCGGCTCGAGTACAGACATTTGCTATTTTGTGACATCAGCTGCCATCGTACACCCTCTGCTCGCTGCACGAGACAAAACCAGGTCATAGATTCAGTCTAGTTCACTCGATCCCGTCTCCGTTCCCCCGCGGCGCGTCCACGGCCGGGCGGGGTACGTCGTGCCGTTACGCCACTTCCTCGCTTGCTATGTGCTTCCTGTCTGCACAGGCACAGTTCTTTTCTAATGCTTGCAAGTTAAGCTGCACAGTAGTTGATTATTGAGTAGCTCAGAGATTTTCTATCTAGGAAGTTTCAGTGTAGTAGGGTGCTGATGGTGGACGGTGTGGGGAGGAGGAGTTAGACGGGAGACTGGGATAAGGGAGGGAAGATATGGTGATGAACATGAAGATGATGGGGACGTGGTGCTTGGTTTGGGGGATCATTCAGTTTTGCTGCGCTTCACAGCTCCTGGGAGTTTCTCTTGTAGCCTGCAGGAGAGAAAACACCACAGGAGTGAAATCCAACAACCTGGACGCTGAACGACGACGAAAGACGAGTTTCTGCAACACTTACTTGGCAATAGTAGTGTTGACTTGAGTACGTGCCAGGTCGATATATTGATCAATCTGAGTCTGGAAAAACAAATGAGAGCAGATGTTACCACCTCAGAGGAAGACAAAGAAAGGAAAACCCTTTGGAACGCATCGAGCTTCTCGTTCTCCACGTTTTCAAAAACTTTTTACTAAAAACAAAACGGAATCAAATTCATTACATCAAATAACTGCAGTCACCCAGTGTAGCTGCTGCAAGCTAAAGCATAACTAGTCATTCCTAATTGGTCTCTGTGTGTTAGCCCTGCGACAGACTGGTGACCTGTCCAGGGTGTGCCCTGCGTCTCGTGGGACAGGCTCCACCCCCCTGCAACCCTCAAAAAAAGGAGAATGGATGGAGTCTGGGGTCGGGCGATTGGGCGAATGTATCGACTAGCGACGATAGGCTGAGCCCATCGCCGATCGTTTTTACAAGGGTGATTTATTTATTTCTTTATTTGCTCATGAGTAAGTTTGCTAATAATGATGGAGCTAATAGAAGCAGTCAGCAGAAAAAAATAAAAAAATCTCTCATCTGCGAGCACATGGCCCTCCTCAGACAGCGCCCAAATGCTCGTCGGTGGAGCTGCAGAAGCTGCTGGTAGCCTAGCATGCTCAGCCGGATGGTGGACACGTGCATGCTCAGGTTTACCTCTTTCATCTGGTTTAAAGCCAAAGAAATCCAAAATTGGTGACTTTGTATTTCTTTTAGTGCCGTCAGCGTTGACGCGCCGTCATCACGACTAACGCGATTAACGATTAACCATCTGGAGCGCAGACTGAGTCTAAATCCCTGAAATGTCTCTGTCAACGCATTTCGGCAGTTTGTTCGTTCTGCGCTCCAGATGTGTCGAACGCGTTAACGCTGACAGCCCGAATGTTTCGGGAAATTAGTTCGTCCGTGTTTGGACTTTTTCTGTTGTAAACGCCCAAATCAGTCCATGCACGATTACATGGCTCCGCCCATCACAAAGTCTGGGCATGCGTGAATATATCACCTGACGAGTGTCTGTTGGAAAATTGTTACCTATCGCCCGACCCTAATGGGCTCTTTTTACACATAATAGTCATTTCAGGAGAGATCGGTGGATGACAAAGACATTAAGGGACCGTGTCACTGACAGCAACCGCACTGGTTAATTTTAAACTATTGTGAGCCATAAACTGGGACCAGTACAGAGGATGGTGCCTGCCATTCCTGGCAGTGCGTGACTACAATCCCCTCAGTGAGCCAATGACTTCATGCTTTAGGCCTCAAAGCCTTCAGTGTGTGATGGAGACTGCGCTCACTGACGGCCATGTTTACAGCGCTGAGCTGAGCAGGAAGCCCGAGACTCACCTTGTTCTTCTCGTAGACGGGAGGCACCGTGAAGAGCAGGACGTCGGCTGGAGAACAGAGAGAAACACGTTAGCCGACGTCCTGCAGCACAAGTTCAAAGCTTGGAGTCGCTCTTTGACCCCAGAGCAACACAACCACCTGACCGACATGAGAACGCAGCACGGCGTGCATGAACAGCCACAGATCCCTCTACGGTTGTTCCCTGTGACTGTGAGCGGTTCAAAGCTTACCCAGGATGAGGATGGTGATTCCATTAAAGACGGCTCCTACGTAGGTCAGCAGCCACATGACCACAGCCAGCTGCGAGAAAAACAAAGAGCGACTCAGAGAGCCCAAGATCAACAATAAGCAGCGCTTACACACGAATGACATCTGCTCAGCGTGACGCCACTCATCCTCCTTAAATCCTCAGTCGTGTAGGGAGCGCTTGATTTGGGTTCGTTTTCAAACTGTTTAATTGTGTTTATTTAACAAAAAACAAAAATCATGGCCGAGATTAAAAGATGATTAATCATGCAGTCCTGACACAAATGAGCAGATGCTGTTTCCTCCTTAAAGAACAGCATCGGCCGTCGTTGGGGATGGGTTTTGATTAGCGATTTTAGCTTGAATAATGTGATATCGATATTTTTTTTAATTTAAATTTATTTTGCCCCAAATGCCAGAATCTCAGGTTAAAGCTCACAAAATTTCAACAACCACCAAACAGCTGAAACAGTAAATGAGAGCAGGAACACGGATTCTGACGTAAACACAAAGAGCGGACCCGCCGTCAGACACAATATGTACTGATAGTGATCAGAATTATAATATTTCTGACTGTCTGAGGCAAAATGTCCCCGATTCAAATCGAAATCGATTCTAGAAATCAGTGACGATACGCAGCCCAAGTCCAAACAAGCTGCTCTCCGTGGAGACATTCTAGCTTGATATAATATTGAGTTCAAACATTTAAAGAGTTTGGAAAAAAGGCGACTGGACTTCTTTGAGCTTCTTGAAGACGTCTCACGTTTCATCCTGGAGTTCAGAATCGCCACCATGTTATCTCAGAGTCTCCTCCAAACTAATCAACGTGCCTTTGTGCAGATTTAAAATGCGATCTGCCCTACAAATAATTCAGGTTCATCTGGTGACCTCTGATCAATAAAACAATCAAATCACAGCCGTTAGTAAATCATTTTTAGGATGGATCTAGAGCAGGGGGCCGGTGTCCTGCAGGTTTTAGATGTGTCCTCGAACCAACACAGCTGATTTAAATGGATAAATTAGCTCCTCAACATGTCTTGAAGTTCTCCAGAGGCCTGATAACGAACTAATCATGTGATTCAGGTGTGTTGACCCAGGGTGAGATCTAAAACCTGCAGGACACTG